CACAGTGCTCGCATCATGGGTTTGGAAGGGCCTCGCATGCTTTCAAGCACAGTGCTCGCGTCATGGGTTTGGAAGGGCCTCGCAAGCTTTGAAGCAAGCGTTGCCCGGCTTAAAAAAAGCGGGGGGGTTGGGGGGGGGCGCAGCACCCCCCCATTTGCAAACACAGTGCTCGCATCATGGGTTTGGAGGGCCTCGCATGCTTTCAAGCAAGCGTTGCCCGGCTTAAACAAGCGGGGGGGGGTTGGGGGGGAAGCGGACCTAAGGCCTCACGAGGCCCAGACGCGAGGAGCCCTGCTTCGTGACAAAATGAAAGAAGCGGACCTAAGGCCTTACGAGGGTCGTTTACCCAGACCCCCGATCTCGGAGCGAGAAGGGGGGTCTGGAACGACATGCGAGGAGCCCTGCTTCGTGACAAAGTGGACCTTCGAGGAGCCCTGCTTCGTGCGAAAGTGGAAAGAAGCGGACCTAAGGCTTACGAGGGTCGTTTACCCAGACCCCCGATCTGGAACGACATGCGAGGAGCCCTGCTTCGTGACAAAATGGAAAGAAGCGGGCCTAAGGCCTTACGAGGGCCGTTTACCCAGACCCCCGATCTCGGAGCGAGAAGGGGGGTCTGGAACGACATGCGAGGAGCCCTGCTTCGTGACAAGGTGGAAAGACACGAAGACACGAAGACAGCAGACCGACTGAATGACTGACCGTTGGCCGGGTTCCAGACACCAAGACAGCCGACCGACTGACTGACTGACCGTTGGCAGGGTTCCAGACAGGAAGACAGCAGACCGACTGACTGACTGTCCGCCTGCCGGGCGTTGACATGCTCCTGTTACATGAGAATATCAACTAAAACCATTGACGTGCTCCGGTTACATTAGAGTATCCACTAAAACCAACAGAAATACGAAAACAAAAAACAGAAAAAATACGAAAAAAGAACCGTCAGCCTTGGCGGCTGCAAGGCTGTTTGGGAGGTCATCCAGGCTCTCAAAAGCCATTCGAGGGTAAGTGTGGTCTTTAATTGGTAAACACTTGCTCATACAAGCAACATATCTGGAACCTCTTCGATGACGCGGTTCAACGGTGAGCGAAGATTTAGGGTTTAGTACGTAGTTTGTTTCCAAGACGGGTTCAATTGGGGAGCCAGCACCTCATGGCATTGGATTGTGGGCTAGTTTGGGCAGCTTACTTGTCGGGTATCATGGGGAACTAAAGGTTAACCTTTGGGGTTATATAGGGATTGTACTACCCCAAAAAGGTTAAAGGTTACCTACCCTACTACTAGGGCAGTACTTGCTACCGCCCGAGGCCCCAGAGCTCAAACCCTACACTGGAAAGCCATGGCCCAAACCCCTACAAGCCCTACACCGTAAGCCCAGGAAACCGAAATCCCGAGCCCCTCGGCCCTGAACCCTCCGAGCTCGAAGACCTTATAAGCCTCAACCCTACCAGCCTCAATTTAAACTTGGTCTAGGTTTTTAGAGTTTATCGCATGCACGCCCTAAGCCGCCCCAAGCTCTGAGCCGCAGGCCTTAGTGGCTCTCCCGAAACCGCTGCTGGAACCGTTTCAGACTGGCAGCCCTCGGAAAAGTCATGCGGAGCCCTTAAACCCAAGCAGACCCTAAATCCTGAACCTTAAACCCTACATGCTAAACCCCGACAGCCGTAAACCCCGAATCGCCGAAAACCCTAAACCTTAAACCTTAAATGCTAAACCCACTAGACCCTAAACTCCGAAGGACCCGAAGCACCGACAACCCCGAACAAAAAACACCGAAAATCCTAAGCCCCAACACCCTAAACCCCGAAGGCCGCGAACCCTAAACCCCTGAAGCCCCGAAACCCTAAATCCTAAACCCTAAACTCAAAACCCTAAACCCTAAACCCCAAAACATAAACCCTAAACTCAAAACCCTAAACCCTAAACTCAAAACCCTAAACCCTAAACCCTAAACCCTAAACTCAAAGACCCTAACGGCCTTCATCCAGGAGCTTGAGCCAGTCCTAGGTGCCGATTTCAACAGTCCCCGACATGAATATACGGGTAGTTCTCTAAATTAGGATCCCTTTTAGGGGTCCTTTTATAAGTGTGCCGTACTATATTGGGGACCGAAAAAGGGACCCTAATTTAGAAACCTACCCATATAAGTAGGGTTCTATAAGTCGTACCCCTAACCCTAAACTCTGAACAATCTAAACCGTAAACGCTTGTTCCCAGAGAACCCAATACCCCGTAATTAAGGAATATACCTTAAATCATAATATTAAGGCCCCTATGGTGTAAGGTATATTACTTAATCAAGGGGTATCGGGTTCTCTGGGTTGTTATATCGACACCTGGAGTCCCGCAGTGGCCAGGGAGCTCCAGGTCGAAGATGCAGCTTCGGTGAACTCGCCTCGGCGGCTCTTCAAGGGTGTAGGGCTTAGGGTTTAGGGTTTAGGGTTCAGGGCTTAGGGTTGAAAAAGCCGTAGGCTCTAAGGACTCAGATTTTAAGGCTCTTGGGCCCAAAGACGATCCTATGTAAGGCTTTTGAATATTTTGAGCCTTAATCATGGGGTCAAGGAAAAATAGAGCTTGTGATTTCATAGTGCTTCCTCTACGGGGCAGGTCCAAAAAGCCATGACGTACTCAAGAACCCAGAACTCGGGCTTTAGAGTTTAGGGCTTTAGGGTTTCAGGCTTTAGGTTTAGGGCATTAGGGCTTTGGGGCTTGAGAGCTTTAGGGTTCGGGGTTCGCGATATTTCTTTCATTCGCTTCTTGTGCATGTGCTCTTATTCTTTCTGGGCTTGGGGTGTTTCCCTAAACCCTAAACCCTAAACCCTAAACCCTAAACCCTCGGGTACTGGGGCTTCAGGTTCAGTCTCGCAAATCCGGTAATCCTCACACAATCATACAGAATCCTCCAAACTCCCCCACAAACTCTACGCACCTAGACTCCAGAACCAGAAACACCAAACCCTCCAAAACCCGCGGCCCCCCTTAACAAAAACTCCAAACTCTCCTTTCCTTATAACTATTCTCTCTAAGTTGCCTAAACCCTACACCAAGAAAGGTCCCAAAGAAACCTAAAACCTGATTCCTACTTAACTAGCTGAACTTAGACCCCTAGCAAAAACTATAATTTTAGCTAGTTCTTAGGGCTTATAGCAGCCAAAGATTACAAATTATTTCTGGTGCCCCTAAGTTAAGAGCCCAGCTGCTGTGTAGCATAGCGCTCCCATGCCCGGCAGGAACCGAAGCAACTCCATAAGATCTCCAGTCCTAGATTCTTCAAAAAGGGAAGGGCCTAAGGTTTAGAGTTTAGGACTGTTTAAGTAGAGTTTGGAGTTTGGGCTGTTTGAGGTTTAGAGTTTAGGACTAGGACTGTTTAGGTAGGCTTTAGGGTTTCTTAGTTGCGGTGACGGTTTTAGGGTTCAGCGCAACCGAGCATGCTGGCCCGGCAAAATAAGAGCCTCCCCCAAAAGTCAAGATTCTAAACGCCAAGCGCTAAACCCTAAACCCTTGTACTGGTAACCAAGGAGCTGAGCTCGCTTTATGAGCCAGGGAGCAAAAACGAACCTCGCCGCTCCAATAGGGCTTTGGCTGCTTTTTTGCCGAGGCAGGGAGGGTCGACGATAGTAATCTATGCCCAAAGGGCCCGAAGTACCTATAAGGAGGATACTTTATATCCCAACCGTAGTGGTAGTTAATCTTAAGTACCTATATGGAGGATACTTGACCCAGCCCGCAGTAGTAGTTCCTGTGATAGAAACCCTATATACTTTCCACTATGTAGCTACTTTAGGGCCATTTGAAATGGGGAGTACAGGGTCTAATGTAGGGGCCTTAATAATTAGAATAGGGTTTTGGGGGGTTCCTTATTATAATTATAGCATAATGGGCCCCAAAACCCCATCCTGGACGCTGAGCGCTAGTTGGGCACAAGGGCCTTGTACGGGCTTATGGGATTTGGAGTACGCAACTGTTGGGGTTTAGGGTTTAGGGTTTATGGGAGTAATTATTGGGGTTTGGGGTTCAGGGTTTGTGGGATTGGAGTACTGGGGTTCAGACAGACAGGTGAAGGTTTTGGATGAATGGCGTAGCTTCGGTGCAGAAGGGGGGCTGTATATAGCGACTGTGAGGCTCCCGCAACACTCTCTCGCAGCCACGCAAGACCTTCAGCTCGTGCCCTTGGGTCTCGATCCTCATGTAATCCACGTGCGGTAGCCACTTCGGAAGGAGCTTGTGTAGAGGCAAGACTGGAATAGGCCTTCCCTCGTTCCGCCCAGTCGTTACCGACTCCGTGTGAGAGCGTTTCAGACTCTCCGGAAACGTCACCGTCGTCTCCTCGTCCCAGACTGCAGCATTGATGACGTAGGCAATGCCAGTGCTGCCAGTGGCTTTGGGCAGCTCTGGTAGTACCCATCGATCCCCGTCCTTCCGGAGCTCCACAAAATGAAACCGGGAGTCGCCTATAACCAGTTCTTTCATCTCCTGTATGTTCCCAGGGAGCATCTCAAAAGCAAAGACCGTGAAGCCGTTCTGGACTGCCAGTCTCATCTCTTTGGCCTCCCATCCAACGCCAATGTCTATCACAAACCTGAGATGTCCACAGTCGGGGTTTGGGGTTTTGCCGTCCAGATCGATCACAGGCCAGGAAATTGACTAAACACTCTACTCTGCCACCAAGAAAGCTGATCTGCTCTTGAATGCCTTTCGACTTTAATGTGGCCATGCTTGTTCTTTCTTCAATCTAAATACGAAGAACACAGACTTTCGACTAATGACGAGAAGAGCCAAGACACTGGCCCGCGCCGGACTTTTCCAGAAAGCCCGGCATCTTAGAGTTCCGCTCAAAGCATGCCTGCAAGCAGCATGGCATCACTCGAACTTTGCTGATGCTCGTTTCAGTGTGGTTGTGGTGTTTGATATTGACATGATGTTCTCGCCACAGTCTTTTGTGCTGCCAGTCTGTTTGTCTTTCCAGTGTGGTACGCACTAGGGAGTGCTTCTCGGCGCACGTGCGCCCATGCACCCGAACGATCCTTTGATTGGGGGGGGGGGAGGTACACGCGGAAAGCATTTTGGGTTTAGGGTTAGGGTTGCGCTCGAAATCAAACCAGAAAAGGCCCGGAAGCATCGCGGTCATTCAGCTTCTAGAACAGGGAGTCCCGCCAGTATATGGGAGAATAATTTTGATTTGAGATGCCGGTACAAGGGGGGACAATTTTGGGATGGCAATAGCATTTCGATCCCGCCAGCAAACGACTTAATTTGTTATTTTGTCAAGGGGTGGTTTTTCCTCGCGGTCACCTGGTTGTGTCGTCGGTCGCAGTGGTCGTGACAGTGGTTCCGGTCTTTCCTTGGTGGTCGTGGCCGCCATCGTCGTCATGGTGCTGCCGTATCGCTGTGTTAGGGTCTAGAAATCTACACTGGCAGTAGTCCTTTCTGTGGGACATATGGAATATGGTTCAAGGTTCGGGGTTCAGGCTTAAAAACCCTTGACCCGAGCTAGTACAGACACGCTTCGCCCCCCGATCCTTCAAGCAGGGAAGCTCGAGGTCTGAAATTTGACCCAAGCTAAGGCATCTGAAACGAGGATCAACGAGACGACACCCCTGACCTGCAAGTCATCGAAGATGCCAAAGCGGCCCATCTCCGCACTACTCATCCTGGTACGCTCCAAAGCAGATCTGTCGTCCTCGCTGAGGTTGTACTTGACTTTGTCTGGGCACTGGTGGTCCAGCATGAGTTCTCTCACAGTTCTGTTGGCGGTCCACTTCGCCGTGGTCTTCGGGTTGCGCAGTGTCGTGACCGGCCAGGTGCACAAGAGATCTACCCAAGCCCCGAAGCCACCCTTGACCTTAGCTGCAGGGTTCATGGCCGAAAGAGTTTGTCAATATACAAAGACATACAGATATATGTATGTTAAGAAACATATATATATATATACACATACACACAGAGACATACATACATACATGCATGCATACATGCATACAAATGTATGTATATATACATATACATATGTATACACGTATATATATATATATATGTATACATACATACATATATATATATATGGTACCCCCCCCCATGTGCCTACCTTCCTCTCTTCTTTAACTCGACTTGGACCTCAACCAGCCTCCTGGGGTCCAGGGTCTGGGGTTCTCGGAGCTTCATGAGCATCTAGCTTTATGGCATCAGGAGCATCTTTGTATGCCGTCATGAGCATCGTACGCGTGTACAGTCTTTCGTCCT